AGCTCCCACAGCAGGAGCGCCGCTCAGCTGACCGAGGGGCGCCAGATGCAGGGCTCACAGCTGGCCGCCGCAGCCTGGAGACCGCAGTGGAGCAGCAGCAAGCCTGCAGAGCGGTGGCAGCAGGCGCAGTGGGGCCGGGATGAGCAGAAGCAGCAGGTGGAGTCAGACAGCCAGTTTCAGCCCGATCCCCGCAGGCCATGCCGAGGGACCCCACCAGTGCACGAATCCGTGCACCGGGCCTCTAGTTTATTATATAAGACAGAATTCCCCTGTTCTAGTTTCTTTGCCTATTAATAAAGTTGTCGCCTACAAATTACTGCCTGGAATACTTTCTAAATAAAAAAAAATACCTCACAATCTTCTATAACTTCATAATATCAGCTGCCAAGCAAAAACACTAGTTTCATATACCACTATTCTTTGACGTTCCTTTTGAGATTACGTTAGAAATAATAAGGATAACAATTACTTATATCATACCTACTATGTGTCATTTAATATGCAAATACCTATGAGCTGTATATTAATTATTATCCCCGATTTACAAATGAGGGAACTGAGGCAGAGAGTTCAAGGTCACAAGACTAAAAAGAGAAACCAGGGATTCAAATCCAAACATTCTGCTCAGAATCAGTGCTTTTAACCTTTATGCTAAGCCAGTACTGAGAAATTCTACAATTCAATATGACAATCATAAAGTTTGCCAGCCAGAGGAATTTTAAATACCAATTCCTCTACCAATCTACTCGGGGCACAGAGTGGTATTAATTTAACTAATTTCTATGATTTTTTAGGAACAATTAACTTAATGTTTCATTCCATTTAAAGCAAACAAAACCTCTTTCTGAAATTTCTCTTTCTGGCAAGAGCTAAACCTTTACCAAAACACACTGGTACTTTCTACATTTCATACCCTCTTGTCACAATATTATTTAAAAAAAACACACAGGGGAAAATGTGATCATATTTCAGCTTTATGCTTCAGTCTCTAACATTAGTCCTAAGTCTATTTTTAGATAAGACTCTCTAATGATGCAGAAGACTTCTTGAGAAAAATAAAGATTCTAGAATATACAGATTCTAGAATAGTTTAAAAGCAGTAAAAATAAAGTAATTTAGAGACTAAAATGTCAGGAGCCAAGAGAGAGCTGTGCAGAGCATATCGAGATGAAAGGAAATGAAGGCAAAGGAGGAGAAGCGACAACACAGAGACCCAGATACTCTAGGAGCACATCGAGTGTAGCCAGCAGCTCCCTACCTACCTATATGTACAAAAGTAATTGTGCGTAAGCAATAAAATATCAATTCTGATGGCATTAATTGTTATCTGTAAAAATACAAATGCATAAATATGTCATACTTTGAAAATAGAAAAAAAATGTTTAAAAATTTAGCTTTCCGATTTTGTGAAGACTTGGATATTTAGAGTTTTTCCCTGGAGTAAGTTAACAATAATAATGATAAAATAAAAATCTATTATTTCAAGAATAAATCTATTATTTTGAAAGTCCTCCAAGATATTAACCTATATTTAACTTAAAGAGTAGAAGTAACATCATAAGTTCAATGTGTACTCAATTTTAAAATTGTTTAAGAGGCTATTCCAAATAGTCCTCATTCAATATCTGGGGGGGGGCGGGGGGGGGGAAATCCCAAAATTCAATTAGGAATAGTTAATGTTATCTTACTAACCCCTCACAATGACTGAATAATATGGATATATTTCGAAAGTAAGAATGGTGATGGGTTTAGCAAATACAATACAGCAGTCTTGTAAGTTACATTCTCCTGTGCAGCCCCCAAACACAATTTTAAAATGCTAAGAATGTGTATGTGACTAAACATTGCCAGAATTTCCAAGCTAGAGATATAACTAGGGCAACCTTGTGAACTAAACAGTATACTGCCTATAATGTTATTCTGAAGTTCTCAAGTTCTCATTTGAAATCAGACAACAGCTTAAGAATTCAGAAAGCCAGGTTAGAAAACACACAACATAACTCTAGGATATGGAGATCTATATGTACATAAATATATAGACATACTATAGCTCCATCTGGATTCAAATACCTCACTACCCACTTTACAGAGCCAACAACAACAACAAAAGCTTTATCAGCCAATAATCTCCCATCCTTTCATTACACATCACTATATTCAACTCCAAAACCTAGGTGAGAACCTTAGAAAGCACTGAATGTAAGTGTTATGGTACCTGATTACAAACCGCCTGACCTGGTTTGTAATTTACAGCCACAGCCGAATCTGTAAGTACAGTCACATGCCGACCCCACAAGATGGAACTCAAAGGCCTCAAGAATCTACTGTTAAGTACACAGAGTAAAATAGCGGCTGCCTGATCAGATGTGCGCATTGTGTGGCTCTTGACAGGTTTCCTCTGAAGGTGTCATGGTTTCTTAAGAGGAAATCTAGGGTCTGTGTCCCTAAGGACATGACTGTCTTACCAGAATCCAAACAAATAAATGAAATACTTGTAGCCTTTGAATAATACCACCTACCAAAGCTTAAAGCCAAAGCAGTGTTGCCAAAAATATGAATTCCTTAAGCATCATTAAAAGTCATATAACTCCCCTTAAAAAGGAGTCTTTAGAAACCATTTTACTCTTTCGGTCACACAACAGGAGAACAGAACCTCTCTTTCTGGGGAAGGATCAACTTTGGTATCGCCAGGATCCACATGCCACAGGGTAACTACATCATGAGTGTCCTCTGTTCTGCGTGCTGAAAATAACTCACGTAAGCATGATGTTCTATCAGTTTCTGAAATTTTTCTTTTACAGAGAAAAATTTTTCTTTCACAGCAGATAGATAATACTCATGCTGTCAGTTCACTGAATTGAAGTGGCCATCTGGTGCCAGACCACTAGCTGGCTCCTTTCCTATCTTCTCCACTAGGTCAAAAGTTCCTCAAGGGAAGGAATGATTCACCTTTTCCCCATATCACAGTGTCCAGCATCTTCCTGGCACCTAGCAAGCACTCAATCAATAAGTACTGACTCAATGAACTTGTTCAATATGTATCAGCTATTTTTACTCCCAAAGTTTTATTTACTTTAAGGCTCTCAATTTTTGCCTATACTGAATGGTTACAAATACCCACCCCCAACCACCCCCTTTTTTTTTTATCCTGAGCAGATCTGTCACGATTAACCAATTTTTGTTTACAATAAGGAAATAAAAAACAAGATGCTTATGCTGCTCCAGTCTAAATAGTTTTATTTGGACCAATATCAAGTACAAGTCAAACTTGATATTGCTTGCTATCACATAACCTAACACATACAGACTTGTCTTTAAAATATGCTTTCGAATGATGCCTGCTGGGTAAATTAAGTGACTTAGAAGCTTCCTTTATTTAATACTTTTTATGGTAATAGGCATTCAGCATTCAGGGATTAGTAGGAATCACAAACCTAAGCGTAAAGGAAACTTTATTGGCTAGGAATCCTTTTAACTAAGAAGATCATATAATCAATAGTGATAATTAGGCCGACATCCAGCATGCTTTACAACATGGGCTGGACCCTACCCTGAGTTACCTGACAGGTGTGGGGTTGAACATAAGAAAACAAGAGAGAAGAGGTATCCACATCAATCCATCGCCACTAAGGTTACTCACATGATAAACAGATATAATGCCCAGCAATAAAAAGGATGACAGCTCAGTATTGATTTCAGAAAAACAGTTCACGGGCCACTCAAAAATTATTTCAGGTTCAAGATTTCTTCCACACTCAGGAACCAGCTCAGAGATATTGCGCGTATGGTTCCAGACCACCACAATGAAGCAAGTATCAAAATAAAGTGAGCCACACAAATTGTCTTGCTCCCCAGTGCATGTAAAAGTTACTACGTTCATACTATATTGTAGTCTAATAAGCGTGTAATTGCATTAGGTCTAAAAAAAATGTACATACCTTAGTGGAAAATATTGTATTGGTAAAAAATGCTAACCATCATCTGAGCCTTTGGAAGGAGCCCGTACACCTTCCATTTGCACAAAACGCGGTATCTGCGAAATGCAATTAAATGGGGTATGCCCATATTTGGGATTGTATTCCTAATTATAATCCCAACAATCTCCACATATCAGTAATAAATATGGCTACTTACTAGCTTTCTACAATGCTCAAGTATGGCTAGATGAAGAGTCCGACATGGAACTAATATTAACAAAATCATGGTTAAGCCACCAAAGTTGAGGTAAAATCACACAGTATGAGCTACATCTTCATCACTCATTTTCAAGGGGCAGTGGGCAAGGGATACAGCCCTTAGGTCTCTTCCTGGGGGAATTCTGAGGTCCTGCGGTGGCTGTTTTTTGATGTAAGATACAGCTAAAAAACACGATCGTCTTTGCGACCGTCTTTCATGACAAATCAGACAGCACACATCCCTGCCGGCAGATTCCCCAGAGCATGCTGGAGGTAGAGCAGCCGGGGGCCCAGTCCCTGAGCTACTGCTTTTGCAAGTTAGAGGGAGGGTCCAAAGAACTACACTGAGTGGCCAGATGATTATGACCACCCCATCAGTACCTCATTGACACTTCCAAATATACTGAATATTGAAAACTTCCTCAGCAAATACTCTCAAGGTTTTATTATTATTATGATGATTATTTGCATAACTAATTCACTTCATTGTACTGATGGGGTGGTCATAATAACCTGGCCACTCAGTGTATATTATGAAGGCGCACATGTGTTCGTGACGTATGTGAAACTCCGGTTTCGCTTTGCAGCTGCACCATGAGCCCAGCCCCGTGACCTGGAAACGCAGCTCACGTTCTGTGACTGCCATGCAGTCAGCCGATCTGCCCGCTTCCCCGACAGGCCGACAAGACCTACTTGAAGATGCAGGCAGTGTTTATGGATCTAAACGCCCCGGCATAGCTTTATCTCGGACAAGACCAGTTAGACAGGAAATCAGTTCTAGCATCAGAGAGATCTGCTCAATGGGTCCAGCGGCAGCAAAGATACCTAATGCCACGGGGTCCGGGTTGACGGGGCTCTGCTGCCGGGAGTGGCTGCTGCTACTGCTGCCGCCCTTTTTCAAGTCCTCGGCGTCACTGTACCGCCGGATCCAGTAATTCAGCTCCTCTCGGTCCGCCTCCTGACACCGCCTCAGCACGGTGAGAGAGCGCCGGGTTTTCTCCACCATGTCCATGATGCAGTTTAACAGCTGCGTGGAAAACGGGGGGAGGGAAGAACACCTATGTCAATCACTACAACTTCAAGGCTTCGGTGGGTGGTGAAACGTACTATTTTAGGACAATGAAGGGCGCTGTTTGAATTCCTGAAGTCTTTAGTCTAATCTTTTCAAAAGGTTGGATTTGAAATGGAGACTCAATCGAGGAGTAAACTCAGTGGGAATGAGAACACAGAGTGGGGGGCATGGACATGAGTCAGGACAAAGAGCATTCATCGCGAAGGTATGCAGCCACCTTTCCAAGTATTAATCCCAACACTGCATCGACCAAGAGAACCTTCCACAACAAAACTATTAGTAGGTTTTAAGAACTCCCTTCCAGGCCTAGCCAGTCTGACTCCGTGGATAGAGTGTCAGCCTGCGACTAAAGGGTCCCAGGTTCGAGTCCGGTCAAGGGCACATGTCCAGGGTTGCAGGTTCGATCCCCAGTGTGGGGCATGCAGGAAGTAGTCGATCAATGATTCTCTCTGATCATTGATGTTTCTCTCTCTCTCTCCCTCTCCCTTCCTCTCTAAAATCAATAAAAATATATCATTAAAAAAAGAACTCCCTTCCATGATCTAAACATGTCCCTTATGTAAGTGGCTTTGGTATCAATTTAGAAATCAAATCCTATATTGCACTTCAAACATTCTCATTATTTTTTCCAAGGTTAGCAGAAAACATAATGCCTTCAAAGTAGCCCCACACTTTTACTTTATCAGGTAACCGCACTCTAGTTGCTTTCAAAACGTTTAAGCTAAACAATTACCAACATCTTACATGGTCAAGATGTTTCCATTCCTCTGCCCATTCTCTGTCAGTTAGCCTGTGATCAATCATTTCTTCTTGACGTGTGCCATGCAACCCTACAAATACAGAGAAGAAGATTAAATCGTCTTGAAGCATTCAGGACATGTCATGTACACACAATATGAAACAATATTCAACCTTTAAATGGAGACACTCAGATTCAGAATTACCTTAGGCAGGTTCCTCACAGTGATAAAATGTTAGAACTAGAGCCCTAGCCAGTTTGGCTCAGTGGATAGAGCACTGGCCTGCAGACCAATGGGTCCCGGGTTCGATTCCGGTCAAGGACACATACATTGGTTGTAGGTGCCGGCCTGGGCCCTCATTGGGGCATATGCAGGAGGCAACCAATCGATGTGTTTCGCTCACATCGATGTTTCTGTCTTTCCCTCTCTCTTCCACTCTCCCTAAAAATCAATGGAAAAATATCCTCAGGTGAGAATAGACAAAAAAAAAAAATTTAGTTTTTTAAAAAGTTAGGACCAGAAAGAATCTTAGAGGCGATCTGGTCAGAATCCTGTCTTTTACGCATGAGGGAATAAAGTGACACCATACCCTGAGCTAGTTTTCCAAGTTAACATCCCTTGAGTGAAAATAAAGACAGCAAAAAATCATTCATGGCAGGAATATGCTTTTCTAAAAACAACATGATAAAAAAGTTTCCACATTTCAGCATGGCATAAATGAGCACACTCCTATGACATATACCATACCTCCATGACAAAGTCAGGTCATAAAGAGGGGGCTTACATAATAGGAAAGCTGCACATACCCATTCAATTCACCAACATATATAAAACAGAAATAAATCGAACATCCTCCACGAAAAAAATCAGTATAGCAGACACAGTTTTGGACAAATATCATAAATCCAAACCAAGAAACTAAAAAACCTAACTTGTAGTCCATAGCATATTTGCATCACAGTGAAGATGCTACCATTAAAAAAGGAACACATAGCCGAAACCGGTTTGGCTCAGTGGATAGAGCGTTGGCCTGTGGACTCAAGGGTCCCGGGTTCGATTCCGGTCAAGGGCATGTACCTGGGTTGCAGGCACATCCCCAGTGGGAGATGTGCAGGAGGCAGCTGGTCGATGTTTCTCTCTCATGGATGTTTCTAACTCTCTATCTCTCTCTCTCC